ACACATCAAATGTGAATGAAATTGAGGCATTTGTTTCTGCCTGGCTGTTGGACCTATAGGTATGTGTCAGAAAACATATAAACATCTTAAAGAACTTCAAAATTCCTCTAAATTCTGTAAGTATTGCTCAGGCACTTCAGTATGGTTGCCTATTGTATTTTTAAAATAAGGAAACAAAATATTTCTGTTACACATTAAAATGAAATCCATTTTACTAAAGAAATGTGATCCTAATAGATCTCTGCTGAGTAAATTGGTATATAGTTATATTTAATTAAAAGCTCTTAAACTTATATTGTAAAATTCCCCAAAGAGAATGTGAACTTTAGCCAGCTGCCTGTGCATCTTAGCAACTATATTTTGTGTCTGCTAACATCATGACTGGAAGATTGCTCTATGTCCACAAAATTCTGCCGTGAAGTACTTAAAAATACTTGGTGAATAATTTGAGGTCGGCTCGCAATTAAGCGTTATGTGAAAGGCCATTAAAAAATCTATTAACTGTGGTACTAGTATATTCAAGTCAAGCTGTAAAAATATATTCGTATAAACATAGAACGGATTATACATACACTGTGTAGAGTTGTGTGGTTTGACTCTTGAAATCCAAATAAAAGTTATATTATCCTTAGAATAAAATTCTAAAATAGAGAGTCTTTTATAAGGACTTGTTCATCTAAGAGCTGGGAACGTTAATTACTCCATTAGGTTGCACTGTTAATAGGAAATAGAGCAGATCATGATTCTGGAATAAGATACCTACTTTTATAATAGCACAAGTGTCCCCGCCACCACACCCCACAAAGAAATTTTTATGGTTTGCAATAATGGTAGTACTTATAACTCCCTAATAACATGTGTGGTAGGTGGGGGCAGTACCAAGAATGAGGGATGAAGAAGTAATTTTAAAGACTGAATCACAAAAAGGAGCAAATAGGAATCTGGGTGAGATGTCAGGTAGCAATGACAGGAGTATGGGATGGTGGGAAAGAACTCGTCCATCCATACTGGGTAGATTTCAGAGCTCCACACCCCCTGTGAGATTTTAAAAGTATGGGAACACACTAGCCACACTGACAGAATAAAATGTAGATTGATCTGTAGAGAATCTGTTGGTGGAAAAAAATTACCTTTAAAGCCCTAGATAATGAACATTTCCCTCACCCTCAAAACAATATTAAGAAATCTGATGAAACCATTTGGAAGCTGACACAACTTATTTAAGCAATGAATATTAGTCACTTAATTGTGAGACTAGGGAAAAAGGAAACAAAATAATTTCAACTCTTATTTTGTATCTGTTTTATTTACGAATTCCCCTTTAGTAGAACATTTTTGTGATACACATCAAATGAGCACTTTTTAAAATATATCTCTTCTTCTCAGTCACTGTTTAGTGTGATGCGCTGATAGTTCTTTGGTGATTGCCAGCCTCGTGGTACAATGAGAAGCATGAGACAAAACAGCTTAAGATGATTCTATGTTTTCTACTATTCTGAAAGCAAGTCAGATCAGATACTTGGGAGGCAGGTGCAAGAAGGAATCCTAGATTAAATGTAATGATTGATAGTTTGCAATATGTACACTCAAAAATTTTCCTTTTCAAATAAAGAGAAAAGAGTTTAGTAAGGCCATTTTTCTAACCTATTGGAAAGAGCATCTGTTTGAAAGAGAGAGAGAGGCAGGCAGACAGACAAACAGACTTGGAAGATATTCTTGGAGGTCCTAGGTCTCTATAGAGTTGGTAAGCAAGTGTCTGCAATACAGTCTGATACATAATAGGTAGTACATTTTATGCAGTCAGTTGTCTTCTGGGAAGATAATACAGTTGGGTGGCATGCACGGTTGTGGTAGTGAATTTAATTTTGTGTGCAAAAACCAGTATGAAACCGACTGTTCGTGAAGAATATGCAAAGGCCAACTCTGCTATGTTTGTATTGCTGTGATTGAAATATTGTGATATTTACTTAGGTTAGAAAATGGAATATATTGCATCTAACAGTTGAATCTTTTAGTAAAATGTTCTGATACAATAGTCTACAATGCTAAGGGAAGTTCCCATAGATTCATGTGCAATAAGAAATGTTGAAGCTCATTATCCAAGTGGAAACTGGACTAAAACAATGTTATACTTTGTTCATTGGAGCTAAAATGAGAGAATATAAAGTGAATGCCAGGGTGTTTTATTAATTGAATTAAGTAGATTTAATAAGAATTGATAGTCAATGAAATTATTATATAAATTGTTGATTTACAATTGTAGTTTTTCTTTGTTTTCTATCCTGGGGGCGGGGGGAAACATTTTATTTGAAATTATTCATTCCTTTGTAAAACATCTAAGTGAACATCATGACATGTCGGTTCCTTTGACACACAGATAGTTGATACACTGACATACCTTAGTGTCTTCTCTCTTTCTCTCTGCTTTTCTTCACTCCACTAATTTTTAGAGCTACCAACATCCTACATTGATGGGACCTCCATTTATATTCACTAAGAAGATCATGGGATATGTTCATATCAGGTTTCCTTTTTTTACTATTTTTTTAAGTAAGGAATTTATGTAGAAACCTATATAAACCTATACAGGCAATGAGTGTTGTTTGTCCTGTTCCTGGCCTAGGAGTTTATAAATAAACACTATTAAGCAGTCATTTCCTTATTTATCCCATGTTTGTTTGGAGAAGCTTGGCTGAATGGTTAGTTTTATCTCCATTATTTGTAAAACAGTACAAAATGTGGTGGGGATTCTTTCTATGCTTGACACAGACCTATGTGTTTCTTATTTAAAATTCTTTCCATATTTAAATGAAAGATATTGTGTGAATTTAGTGTCTGTGTGTGTGATAATTCTTGATGTGAATTCTAGTTTTATTTACACCTCATGAAACCTAATGCAAAAGGTTGAATGCAAAACGAGAGTATTAACAATTGAAGATATGCATATTTTTGAAGCTCCAGTTAGACGCTATAAAGTTGTACAAAATAGTTTAACTGAGTCTGGCTTACCTCAACTATGTTAAAATAGTATGAGCAATGAAAGACTACTTAATTTGTTGATTAGATAAAATTACTGATGTGATATTTCAAAAGATTCATTTGTACAAAGGCATTTAAAACGTATTCACATATACATATCTGTACATATGCATATATATCATCACACATTTTTTTTCATAGCAAAACAGTGGGCTTCATTGCAAGCCATATTAAGAGGTGTTATTATCTGAAGATCTTAAAAGTGTCCGCTTTTAAAACATACACCATGAGACACTGTAAGATCACAGTAACAACTTTAGTGATCTAATATTGAACGAGCTTATGCTTTTAATTATACTTTTTTGAAAAAATGTAAGGCATTTAGTCATGTTCTTGTTTGGCAATTAGGAGTTGTTACAGCATCTGTGGCAGAAATCATTTGTCTTCATTTTATATTTTTGTAATGTACTAGAGTTACGCGTTGATCTCACTTCTCTTATGGTAGAAGTATTTTTTATTCATTTGACTACCCATAAGCTCTTGTGTCCATAGTTGAAAGGCTGAATGTCTGAGGTGGAATGAGAAGATTTGGTTATAGGGCATATGGTTAGGGTAAGAATATGCATAGGGTAAGAATAATCCTATGCAAGTAATAGTTTATGGAGATTACGCAGTGAAGATGTGATGGGATACAGAAAAGAGTTTTCTTTTTTGCTTTTATTAGGGCCAAAGGGATAAAGGTAAATATAGTATATGTCTTCCAGTTCCATAAAAGTCTTGTGGTCTTTGGTTTTCTAAGCAAACCATAGTTAAAAACATAGAGGAGTTTCTTAAAGTTTTTACTGATAGTTCATATACTTCTGAATTTATTTTGATGCATGAAGAATACAGGCAAGACCCGTTCCTTCTCAATAGGGTTTTTTCCTCGTCTGACTTGTCAGTAAATGCTAGATGTTGATCCTTTCATGCATGGAAAGGAGTGGCTTCTTGCTACAGGAACAATCTCCCTACTAATGGGGGACAGGGGTGGCTCCGTCGTAATTATTCCTTCTGTAAGCTGCTCAGGTTTCGCCTGAGCATTTGTGGCATGAATTGGGGCTCAGCCGAAAATGAATTCTGCAGCAGTATTCCTGGGGTGGGAGAGCGAGACACTGTGCAGTCCTCCATGCTGCTTTTTGTCTTCTTCATGGGTCCTTGCATGCACAGGCACCTTTCGCCGTGACACTGGGACAAGGACAGCTGCAGTGGCAGAACTCTGTCCTCGGACAACTGAATTCCACTCTGATAAAAGTGATACAACCCAGAATTTCCTCCTTCCTGGTGCCCAGACCAGGGGTTTGGCTGGTTTATTTCTGGAAGCAGAAGAGCCCATGGAGCTTAGTGGTTGGTACCTTATAGCAATTTACAATCTAGGGAGTGCTCTGAGGATATGTGTTACTTAAATTATGCTAGTTCGGATGTTTAGGTGTGACTCCTGAACTTCCGTTGGAGAAAATGTTAATAAAAAGAACTGTATGTAACTGACCCAATCCAGATCGCCTCTCATGAAGGACAAAGGTGTAAAGCATGGTGGGCTCTTCCTTCCTTCCTGGTGTTCTCAGTGAGCTCTCCCTGCGCGGAGCCCCCTATGCAGGGCTTCCTATCCTGGTGTCTGGTCCATGGCTGCAGCCTACACAGCTAAATCTTGTCTCACTGTTACACTGGGGAGGGACTGTTGATGCACTGTGAAAAGGCTATAAAGAAACCTCTCTTTTGCTTTTCTGAAAACAGTCTTCTCTAGGACAGATTATGGCAAGAGAAGGAATCTCTTCCCATTTCCTTATTGAAAAGAGGGTGTCTCAGCCTCCCCTTACATAAAACAGTAATCGCTTACTTTTTCTGTATGATCTGGTCAAATGGTCTTAATTTTTCTTTTTTTTCCAGTTCACATGCCTATGAATTCCCACATTTCATGATTACAATGTACATATGTGACTCCTTGTTTCATTTTAAGGGCCTTGCTTTGTTGGCCATGTTGAAGAGTTCTCATAACCTGTTTCTATAATCTTATATTGGATTTATTTTTCCTATTGTTAATGTGACTCCACAAATTTGGAGACTGAGAACCATGTGTAGAAGGGTGATTGCACTTTATGTGAAAAGATTTGAATCCTTCCTTGTGTGCATGAGTGTGATCAGCCAGCCTTGCTATCGATTTCTTCTGTCGTACACTGCCAAATCTTCTATTCAAGTATTGTGAAAACTCTTTGTTTTTTTCAGGTCGAATGAGTGATTTGAGTGTAAGTGGTCATCCAATAGATTCAGAATCTAAAGAAGATGAACCTTGTAGTGAAGAAACAGATCCAGAGCACGATCTAATTGCTGAAATTTTACCTGAGTTAATTGAATTAGATCTGTACCACAGTGAAGAAGACGAAGGGGAAGACGAAGAGTGTGCAAACGCTACTGACGTAACGACCACCCCATCAGTGCAGTACATTAACGGCAAACATCTGGTCACCACGGTGCCCAAGGACCCAGAAGCAGCAGAAGCTAGGCGTGGCCAGTTTGAGAGTGTTGCACCTTCTCAAAATCTTTCAGACAGCAGTGAAAGTGAAACGCATCCGTTTGTGATAGCTGATCCTGGATTGTCTACTGCCGTGCAACCTAACGAATCGCAAGAAACAACTGAGTCGCTTGAACTTACGTGGAAGCCCGAGACTTACCCTGAAACACCCGAACATTTTTCAAGTGGTGAGCCTGATGTTTTCCCCACAGCCCCGTTCCATGAGGGAGAAGCCACAGAGGGGCCAGAATCGGTCACAGAGAGGGGGCCTGAACTTGATAATCTGGTCCATGAACATATAGAACCTGTACCTCTGTTTTCTGAAGAGTCTTCAGGAGATGCTGCCATTGACCAAGAATCTCAAAAACTGATCTTTTCAAGGGCTACTGAAGGAACATTTGGTGAAGAGGCAGATAAAAGTACTTCTATCACATATACTCCAAGTATAGTTCCAAGTTCTGTGTCAGCCAATGTTTCAGAGGAAGTATCGGTTGCCTTCATAGGAAATGCCCTCCCTGATGGCCCATTGCCCACTGTAGAAAACTGGGTAGAAATAACCCCTAGAGAAAATGTAGAGCTCTCAGGGAGTCCTTCAATCCCATTTCCAGAAGGCTCTGGAGAAGCAGAAGAAGATAAAATGTTCACTGTGACAACTGATTTATCACAGAGAAATACTACGGATACACTGGTTACTTTAGACACCAGCAAGATCATGATCACAGAAAGTCTTTTTGATATTCCTGCAACGACCTTTTATTCCATTTCTCAACAACCTTCTGCAGAAGTCATGCCTACCAAATTTGGAGGGGAAACAGACACTTCTGAGTGGGTCTTCAGTACATCTCTTGAAGGAAAGAAGAGGAAAGATGAGGAGAAGGGAACCCCAAGTACAGCTCCTACAGTTCAGGTGCATTCATCTACACAGAGATTAGATCAATTGATTTTACTCTCTGAATTAGAAAGCTCAAGTGAAGCTACATCTAGCGATTCAGCATCTACTACCAGGAACAGGTTTATGTCCTCAACAAAACCCACAGAATCTGAAAAGGAAATGACAAGTTCTACTCTTGTCTTTACAGAAACGAATGTTTTAGATGGTCTGGGGGCACAGACTGCTGAGCCCAGCAGTAGCAGTCAACCTGGGGTTCAGGGGGCGCTGTCCGCTGTTCCAGGGAGCCCCGCCTCTCTCTCTATGGAGCTGGGCTCTGGGGAAGCTGCTGCTGACCCAGAAATAGCCACTGTTTCTTCATTTTCATTAAGTTTAGAGTCTGAAATTCCAACCAGAAAGGAGATAGCTGGCACCCTGTCTCCCCATGTGGAAACTATATTCCCTTTTGAGCCAACAGGATTAGTTTTGAGCACTGTAATGGACAGAGAGGTGGCTGAAATTATAAGCCAAACATCCAAAGAGAACTTGATTTCAGAGGTCTCAGGAGAACAAAATCGTGGGCCAGAAATAAAGGGCATTTCTACAGATTTTCCTTTGGAAGAAGATTTCAGTGGTGACTTTAGAGAGTACTCAACAGTAACTTATCCCATAGCAAAAGAAGAAACAGTAATGATGGAAGGCTCTGGGGATGCAGCATTTAAGGATACCCAGATTTCATCATCTGTGATACCTACTTCAGATCACAGCAACCACAGAGCTGACTCAGAAGGACCCAATAGCACCTCTGTCAGCATTTCCACCTTCCCTTGGGAAGAGTTCACAGCCTCAGCTGAGGGCTCAGGTGAGCAGCTGGTCTCGGTAAGCAGCAAGGTGGACCAAGTGTTTCCCGGTGCTATGGGAAATGTTTCTGGTACAGATTCCCCATTTATTGACCAAGGACTGGGAGAAGAAGGTGCTGTTAATGAAGACGATAAAAGGATCACCATTTTACCAACAGCAGAAGCTAAAGGTACTGAAGCCGCAACAGAAAAGGGAGAAGTGACAGTCAATGGCACAGTTTCAGTGAACTTTCCCCAGACTATGGAGCCAGCCAAATTATGGTCCATGCAAGAAGTCAACCCTGTAAGGCAAGGAACTGAAAGTGAGACAGCATCAGAGGAGAAGATTCAAGAACCAAAATCTTTTGAATCCCCTCAAAGCTCTGTTGCACCAGAACAAACAATTTTTGATTCACAAACATTTACTGAAACTGGACTCCGAACCACAGATTATTCTACGCTAACAGTGAAGAGAACTGACGGTACTGGTGAGGAAATGGAGAAGGAAGGCATTTCCTTCGCTGATGTGTCTACTCCAGATCCAGAGGCAAAGGGCTTGGAACCCTATACTGCTCTCCCTGAAGTTACCAAAAAATCCCATTTTTTCTTAGCTACTACCTCAGTGACTGAATCTTTATCAGCTGCAAGTGTAGTTACAGATTCTCCAATCCAAAAGGAGGAAGCTCTAAAATCTTTTCCCAAAGTTGTGAGGCCCACAGTGAAAGAGTCAGATACCGATCTTTTATTTTCTGGACTGGGATCAGGAGAAGAAGTTTGGGCTACTACAGCATCAGTGAATTTTACTGAAACGGAACAAATCACTACCACATTCTCTCCCCAGGCTTCTCACATGGAGAGTTTAGAAACCAGCCTCATAAGTGATACAACCAAAGACTATGAGGAAATGGAAAATGTAGCAAATGAAGTTAGACCACCCATTTCCAAAACAGACAGCCTCTCTGAAGGTATTGAGACAGCATCCAGCCCAACCTTACTAGAAATTTTAAGTGACACCAGAACTGAAGGACCTTCTATGGCACCTCTCACTTTCTCCACAGATACTGAACATCCTCAAAATCAGACCCGTGGTCGGGCAGAAGAAATCCAGACTAGTAGACTACAACCAATGACTGAACAAGTCTCTAACGAGAATTCTTCAACAGCAGAAACAAAAGAAACAGCAACTCCTCCCTCTGATTTTCTGGCTAGAACTTATGGTCTTGAAATGGCCACAGGATTTGTTACATCACCAAAACCATCTGACTTGCTTTATGAACATTCTGGAGAGGGATCTGGGGAATTGGATATGGTTGATTTAGTCCACACTTCTGGAACTACTCAGGCAACCAGGCAAGGAAGCACCACATTTGTTTCTGATAGATCCCTGGAAAAACATCCTGAGGTTCCAAGTGCTAAAGCTGTTACTGTTGATGGATTCCCAACCGTTTCAATGTTGCTGCCTCTTCATTTAGAGCAGAATGAAAGCTCCCCTGATCCAACTAGCACACTGTCAAATACAGTGTCATACGAGAGGTCCACAGAAGATGCTGCAGATAGTTTCCAAGACCATCTCAGGGGATTTGAGGATTCCACTGTAAAACCTAACAGAAGAAAAACCACTGAAAACATCATTATAGATCTGGACAAAGAGGACAAGGATTTAATATTGACAATTACAGAGAGTACCATCCTTGAAATTCTACCTGAGCTGACATCAGATAAAAATACTATCATAGATATTGATCACACTAAACCTATATATGTAGACATCCTTGGAATGCAAACGGACATAGATCCAGAGGTACTATCAGGACCACATGGCAGTAGTGAAGAAAGCGCTCAAGTGCAAGAGAAGTATGAGGTAGCTGTTAACCTTTCTTTAACTGAAGAAAACTTTGAGGGCTCTGGTGACCCTCCTCTGGCTAACTACACTCAGACAACACGTAATGAATCGATACCTTCTGAAGACAGAAGCCACTTAGATCCCATGGGCTTTACCTTCACAACTGAGCTCCCTGTTCCTGGCATAGAAACAGAATTAGATATTTTGCTTCCCACAGTGACATCCCTGCCCCTTCCTAGTACATCTGCCACAGTTAATCCAGAGACTGAAGAACCAAAAATTGAAGCAAAAGTCCTGGATGACGTCTTTGAATCAAGTACCTTGTCTGATGGTCAAGCTATTGCAGACCAAAGTGAAGTAATATCAACATTGGGCCATTTGGAGACACAGGATGAGTATGAAGAAAAGAAACATGTAGGTCCTTCGTTTCAGCCAGAATTCTCATCAGGAGCCGAGGAGGCACTGATCGATCCTACACCCTACGTAAGTATTGGTACTGTGCACCTTATGGCTCAGAGTTTAACAGAGGCACCTAACATGATAGAAGGATCCAATCCCTCAGATTACACTGATACAACATTAGCAGTTTCAGCTTTTGCCAAGTTGTCCTCTCAGACACCATCATCTCTGCTCACCGTCTACTTAGGCAGTGGAGCCTCTGAACATGCAGAAGACCCCCCAGCAAGCGCTCTGCCTGGTACAGATGCTGGCACATCTCAGAGGTCTCTAGGAAAACTTGCAGATATTGAGGTGACTTTCACATCATCGACTGAAGAGCTCGTTCACACAACCGAGCCTCCATCCTTATCTCCTGACACTGGATTAGAACCTTCAGAAGATGAAAGTCATCCTAAGTTATTAGAACACATGGAAACTTCTCCCACAGAACTGACTGCTGAAGAGGGAACTGAGATTCTCCAAGATTCCCAAACCCAAACCAATATTCAACTTTCTGAAGAAACAATGAAGAGCAGTATTCGAACCACTGAGCCTGGAACTGTGGTCATAACCGCAGGTGACATTAAGTTAGAAGGTGCTACACTGTGGCCACATTCTACTTCTGCTTCTGCAGTTTATGGAGTTGAGGCAGATGTCGTGCCTCAGCCCAGCCCACAGACTTCTGAGAGGCCCACCGTTCCTTCCTCTCTGGAAATAAACCCTGAAACACAAGCAGCTTTGATCAGAGGGGAGGATTACACAGTAGCAGCATCAGAAGAGAAAGTAGCGGCGAGAATTCTTGATTCCAATAATCAGGCAACAGTAAGCATTGCAGAGTTAAATACTGAGCTTGCAACACCGTCATTTTCCCTTCTGGAAACTTCTAATGAAACCGGTTTCCTGATTGGCATTAATGAAGAGTCAGTGGAAGGCACAGCAGTCTATTTACCAGGTAAGGTCACAAAATTGATAAATCTGTTTCCAAACTTGGAAACAGTCCCTTGGTTCTAACACATCTATGCATATAGTTTTTTTTTTTTTTTTAAAGATTTTATTTATTTATTTGAGAGAGAGAGAATGAGAGACAGAGAGCACGAGAGGGAAGAGGGCAGAGGGAGAAGCAGACCCCCCACTGAGCAGGGAGCCCGATGTGGGACTCGATCCCGGGACTCCAGGATCATGACCTGAGCCAAAGGCAGTCGCTTAACCAACTGAGCCACCCAGGCGCCCTATGCATATAGTTTTTATTGTGATATTAAATCAGTGGAGAATTTTATATTATTCGCATAATAACAGGACAGACCACATTACTGAGTCCATAATTAGATGCAAAGAAAGTGAGTGTAGATTATTTCTGGGCTTTATGGATATCCTTTGTATTCTTCTGGGTTTTAGAGATAACCTATGATTGCGACATAGGAAAAGTGAAATTGTTAATGGTGTAAAAATTTAATTTGGTTTTACCCATAACTAAAATATTGCTTTGTCATATGCCCTGTAGTTATACATCTTAGTTAAAAACAGGGGGAAAAAAAATCCCATTTTTAAAAATCTCTCATTGATGGGTGCTATTACAGCAATATCAAAATCTGTCAGGCCTTTAAAATTTTTTGAGTAGTAAATAACTCTAATAAACATTCACTATAGTTTGTGTAATGTCAGTTATCAGTTCATACTTTTATGTAATTTCCTTGCTCCAGATAGTCTGCCTAATGCTTCTAGCACAGCGCCTAGCCAGAGTGGGTATGTATTTGCGCCCTGCTTGTCGAAAAAGGATTTCTGTGTTTTTTTGTTTTGTTTTGTTTTGTTTTGTTTTTTACCTGAATGGACAGAAAGCATGAGTTTGATATTGGTTCATACAGACTCTCTTATATGATCACAAAAATGCAGTGTTGTTATTATCATCATCCCCATATTATTATCCCTACTTAAGGGTGGGATGTGGATGTTCAGAGAAGTTCTGTAATTTGCCAGGGGTTGCATAGCCACACACACCATGGCATTGGTGGGATTTGAACCCAGATCAGCTCCACGCCAAAGTCATGGTCTTTTCATTGCTCTTTCCTGGTTTCTAGTTAATATAGTACAAAAGTGAATAATTGACATTTAATGATTTATAAGCCAGAAATCTTGGAATATTTACTTTGTAGAATATATTTCCTTTTCGTCTAGCTTGATAATGGTGAGAAGTCTTCTTTAACAGGGTATTTTCTAGTAATGTTATTTAAATAACAATGTCAGTGGAATCCACAAATAGCCATTACTACCTAGTGACCTAGATTAAAAAAAAAAAAATCAGTACTTCAAGGGCTGTGTTGTTGAAAATATGTTTTATTTTAATGAATATGTTTTACAGCATGGCTATGCTTAGGATTATTCTCCCGATCATTTCAATGTTATCTTTTGTGCCAGTAATGCTTCTGTTTGTTGTGCTTCAGATAGAGTAAAATAATCAATCATAAAGTGCAACTTTTATAAATGACTTGAAGTATTTTATGAATAAAATTAATCAGAGGTGGTCGATGGATTTTTTTTTTTGCTGTCACTCTATCTTTAATCTGTAAATGATAACCTAGTAATCTGGCCAGTATTTATTCTCTTATAATTTAGTTGAAAATACCTCAGGTTGGTGAAAATACAATACAGAAATCATTGTTAAGTCATAGAGAGTTAGGTTTGACAGATGGATGAGAAATGTGTACCAGTAATCCAGACCACAGTATTTACTTAGAATGAGAGCTTGCGTCTTCATTACAAAGCAAATTGTGACTTTAGCCGAATTCAGTAAACAGCAGCTCACATTGGATTGCCTGGTTTCTCTGTCACAGGTTCAGCTTTCAGAGAGTAATACAAACTGTTTAGGGAAGAACAGAATTTGTCAAAACAAAACTTTCCTCCTAACCTAAACTACTTTAGGTTCACAGAAGGACCCACTTTCTTGCCAAGTCCTTGTCCCATAGTCTCAGCATGGTGTCTGGAGTCTGTGGTGGGAATAATAATAATACTTCACATTTGTGTGGCACATCACAGTTTATCAAGTGCTGTCACATACGCGTCATTTTGGTTTTGCACCGAGGGCAGCGCGTAGATGTGTTGTGGATGGCATCCTTGACAGAGAAACAGTGTACTTTCAAAGGCAGAAGGCTAAAATGGCTAGGGAGATTTTGCATATTTTTAGAACTATAGGAGAAAGAGTCTTAGAAAAGTTGGGGTCATATTTGAAGAAGTAGGTGTAAGCATCTGAATCAACCTGATTATAATGTTGAACCCATAGATGTGAATGTAGTATCTATCAAGTCTTTCTTGTAGTCCAGAATTTACCTAACACTCAGAAAGTTTGAGTTTGACTTTCTTGTGTGGAAAGACTCAGTTACCTTCTAGAGCAGTGCCTGCTTATTCCAATATTCCTTAAGTTCATGTTTCTTAAGTAGATATCTTTTTTCATGTGTAATTACTTCAGGGTTTCGGGACTGAAGATTCTTGAAAATATAGTTTTTATTCCATATATAGCCTATTTATCTCAATTATTTTGTAAGACTTTCAACTCTTATCTGGATTTTTGAACATTTTGAAACATAAGCAATTCTGAAAAAGCATTCAAATAATAAATAGAAGCGACTCATGTAAATACAATTATCCAAGCAATACCACAGAGAATATATGTGCTTGAAGTATTGTAAAAGTATTTGCCTTTAGGAAACATATTTTAAAGTGTTTCTTCTCAGAAATTTGTGTCTCTGGCCTTTACATTTATCTTCTAGGACTGTTGATTTTATTTGTGTTTTAATAAGAAAATTGTAATAAAAATTTGGGGTTTCAAAAAATTGGGAGTCTCATTTTAGGTGAGATTTTTGTCTTTGGGTGTGTTTTTATACAGTAGAGTTTAATTTATGTGTTGCTTTTCTTCAAGTATAGTTTAAAGGAGTACATTTGGAACGTGTTTTTGGAAAAAGCATATTAATGTAGCAGAAGAGACTTCAGTGCACACTTTCGAAGAAAAACAGTTTCTGAGCATTAAGTGGTAAAAGGCAATAATAATTCAAATGATGATAACAAGCCAAACTGCTAAAAAGAATGCATGTTTTGTGTATCCAGCCATTTCACATGAACTAACCTCGTTTAAAAGAATACATTTTCCATTCACTGTGCACATATGTGTAATCATTTTTGACTAAAATCAATTGCCATTATCATGCCGACTAAATCTGCAGTAGAATATATTAGTTGCCAGATACTGTACAAATTATTGTTTAAAAATAATGATGACTGAATCCCAGAAATGAATAGATGCAATTTGTAACAATTAGTTGTAATGCCAAGAAACACTCCAGAGAGTAAAGTTAATGTTAATTTTTATGCGTAGTATCTAAATTGCTATGGTAAAGCTTATATTATGGTAGCAGTCAGTGGCAATTTATGCTACAATATATTAAAACCTGGATATGAGCCTAATTGTTTTTCTTACTTTCCTGAACATGGTAGGACCTGATCGTTGCAAAATGAACCCATGCCTTAATGGAGGCACCTGTTATCCTACTGAAACTTCCTATGTATGTACCTGTGTGCCGGGATTCAGTGGCGACCAGTGTGAACTTGGTAAGATGTTCTTGTCTGAAAGAGTGTAATGCTTTTCCAGAAGATATATTGGGGCAGAATTTATATTGTTCAAAGGATTTCAGGGAAACCCATGTGTAGATGAATTATTTGTTAAATGATGTTAAAATCATAGAGTAATTTAAGTAGAGTCTGGGAAATGGGGACAGGTGTTTACTGAATTTTGTTAATATACCCAAAACTCAGTGAAGCTTTCTGAGGTGAACTGTGTCTTTTTATATTTTTTCCAGATGGGCTTTACAAATGTAAAGTTGCATAAATAGTAAGGAAATATTTTAATCTCCTTCCCCAAATCTGCATATCAATAATCAATTTAAATACAAAAAAATATTAAAAAGCTGTATTTAAAAGATGAGGGGTTTAGTTTTTGTGTTTTGAGTTAACTTGCTCCTCTGAGGTGGAATGGGCAGGATCCTTCTCTGGGTGTCTCCAGAGGCCAGCCTAACCCACCTCTACCTCAGTAAGTTTTGAGGTGGTTGTCCTCCTCTTCTTTAATATCATTGTCTGTTTACTAAATCAGTTCCTTTCACTCTCATTTTTATTTAGGTTTCCTTTTTTTTTTTTTTTAAAAAAAAAAGACCCCAGTTCTGATTTGGGTAAATATGGATAGACCTTTCCTCTGAGAAAAGAGATGATGAGAATACACTGGCCAGGTGATCCTTTTAGAGGTCCCATAAAGGTTTTTTCCTACGATTGAGTAAAGAAGGCCCATGGATAATGCTTTAGATTACACAGAAATACTGAGATAAAATCCTCAACATTCATATTAAAAGAGTGCTTGTCTTTAAAAAAATAGTCAATGGAGCTAGTCAACTCTATCTGTGTGCTAACTAGTAGGGACATAGAAATAGCAATAGATTACATTTAAGGAATAATTACATCTTAAGTATCATATTTACCTATATATGTATAAAAACATCTCTTTGGCCCCCATTCTGTTTTACATTAAAGTCAATTTAAAATAATGTAATGAGTTAATATCTGTGAAGCTGTTAAAACAGTGGCTGGCACTTAGCAAGCATCATAAAAGTGTTTGGTATCACTGCTGTGTAATATCATCATTACCAAGGCCATTTCCTTAGGTACCCATACATTATATACCTCTTGGAAACTTAATATATTGTGTATAAGTCATATGTTTTAATATTCTTTTTATTTAATATAAGCATAAATTAAATTTTTAGTGGAATTGCAAACTGCTGAGAGAATAAAGCATTAATTTCATCAGAGATCATGGAGGTCTGGGTAGGAAGGTGGCACTTACTAAGATCTTAAAGTTGGGAGGATTTTGATAGCTGGTGGGGCGAGACTCAGACACAGCAAACAAAGGCACAGACACCCGGACTGCAGAATACATTTGGGTGACTGCGAGTATTCCAGGTATGCCTATTTATGGGTTTGTGGGAGAAAATCCTTGAAAGCAGGTTGGATCTCGATAGGTCTGAGAAGGTTCTGAATCCAGTGTACCGACGAGTTTACTTCCTACTCTAGTAGAGTGATTTTGACTTCAGTGGGCCTCAAAATCATGGGCATGGCTTCTGCAACCCCAGGTGTTGTTCCCATCCCCCCACAGGGTCTAACTCTGTAGGTCTGGGGTGGGCCTGGGAATGTGCATCTCTGACATTTCTGAGGTGATGCTGATGCTGCTTGTCCAGGGACTACATTTGGAAGATATCTGCCCTGGGCAGTTGGGATCTATTGAAGGTTTGGAAGCCAAGGAGTAAATTGTCATGACCGTGTTTAAAGGAGATGGCAGTCAGCAGAATGATGTGTTGGAAAGAGAGAGAGGCCCAGAGGCAATCAGGCCAGTTACATATTTTCAGTATTCCACGGGTAGGGTAATCAGAGCATGAGCCACGATTGTGGGTAGGAAGTTCCAGGGAATTCTTTACCATTTCTAGGACTCATGTGACCATCTAAATGCAATGGAAACAATGACCCTCCTATGAATAACTTTGAAATTTTCTTAGGGTTGCCAGATTGAGCAAATCAAGTGCAGGAAGGTCAGTTAAATTTGAATTTCAGGTTAAAAAAAAAAAGAATAATTTTTTTTAGTGTAAGTAGCCCTAAATATAGCATGGGATATATTTATACTGAAAAATTATTATTTTTTTAAATCTGAAATTCAAATTTAACTGGCTGTTTTGTTCTTTATCTGGCAACCTTACACTAAATAGGATCTTTTGACCTTTTCTGAAAGTACTTTTGTGGCCTTTTATGATTTTATTTCAGATTTTGATGAATGCCACTCTAACCCCTGTCGCAATGGAGCCACATGCGTTGATGGTTTTAATACGTTCAGGTGCCTCTGCCTTCCGAGCTATGTTGGTGCACTTTGTGAACAAGGTAAGAGCTGATGCAACATCTGTAGGATGAACAGTATGGTTGTTTCATTTCAAATGTTACTTCTAGACAGCTTTTTGCCATCATTATTTGGATGTTTTTAGCAATGTTGGCCATACTGCATGTTTTTTCCTGCAAGGGAAATTCACAGATTACCTAAGTGTATTAGGTTTCCTTATGTGTCCGTAGCCCGTGAAAAATAGTGTTGACTTAATCACTGCTGTCTTGCTGCTAGAACAGAATTGTAGACAGGCACACTGAGCTGAATTTAAGGACATCTAGCTGACAAAAGGAACGTTGTTATAAGTATTCTTCCTGAGGACAAATTAGGCATTGACCTTAATCCATCTGTGTGGCTTGTACCAAGGAGTATGGAATTCTATACTCGTTGCCTTTATTTTCTCCTCCAAAACACTTGGGAGTCAATGGGTTTATTTTTCATCGTCAATCATCTCTGGAGAATGCATTGATATAGTTGTTAGAATACGTTAGCTTTGGCTCGGTAAACGTTACATAAAAGGTATTGTAAATCTGCTCAACAGGGACTTTTTCTACTACAGAAGCATCTGCTTTTTCTGAATGAAACAAAGGCCGGTGTTCATGATTGCTTGAATCTCATGATCCCTGTAATTTGTATTTTATGGCCAACCTGAGAATGTATTTCAGGTGGTTAATGGTAACATTTCTTAGTCATCAATCAGAAACAGATTGCATTGTTCAGCTATACTCAGCTTTGAAATGTCGTTTTCCTTTACTGCAAGTCATACAGTGGTTTGGCTTTGACAAAAGTGCCCAGTGCCAAACTTCTGTTCCACCAGACAGAATGAAAATGTATTAGACACTCAGACACATTGGTCTGGCCCCACATTCTGGTTCACAGTGTTAATCCAGACATCACCACAATTAGAACAACCGAAAGCAGCATGTATTGAACTGCCAATCAAAAAGGATGGGTGATGGCTCCATTTTTAGTTTTTTCTCTCTGTTGCATAGGATGAGTCTGTTTAGAATTTAAAAGGTAAATATGAAAATTGGCCAGGCAAGATCCTCTTCTTAAGGAAAAGAGTAAGGAAGATGCCATTTATTGAAGAAAACCAAAAGGGCGAGATCCTTGAAATATTGCATGTGTTAAAATGATTCTGGCTTCCCTTAGTTCCAAGTCCGAGGAGCAATTCAAAAAATCATTCATTCAACAAATGTTTACTGAGCACATACTGTCTTCCAAGTGCTATTCTGGGTACGGGAGGTAGAACTTTGAGCAAAATAGACAAGGTCCGAAGTCTGGGTGACTCAGCGTAATTCTTGGCAGGGAATAAAAAGAGATGCTATTTGTTGAATGCCTTATAGTTTACCAGATGTTCCCAGGTATATCATTTCGTTTAGTTGACAATATTTGGATGTGGTAAGTTGGGCCAGAAATCAAGGCTCAGAAAGGAAAAGTGATGTGTTCAAGGTCACACAGCTAGTAAATCAGAGTGGGAAAAATGAACTTAGGCTGCCTTGTAAAGCCCAGGTTTTTCTCAATATCTTCCCACTTTTAAAGTAACTCTCACAGATAAGCATTTTATTTTCATGTGTATTAAAAAGATTTGCTTTTTTTCTCATTTGTGGTACCACTTAGTTTTCAGGTGCGTTCTATTTTGTCTTAAAGCGAGTGTACTTTCATCCACATTATTTGCTGAGAAATAGCTATCCTGGCCTGTTTATCCGATGCAGCTGTGCTTCTGTGATTTATTGCCAGGACCCTGAAAGATTTTTTTCTCCTCTTTGCAGGTTGCCTAAGAACAAATGTTTTTTTCATTAGCAGCAGCATTGTTGTCTAAACAGTTTTCTCTCCAAATTTCAGTGATGACTGTGTTGTTGTTTCTTCAGCTGACCTTTTCTTCTCTGCATTGGTAACCTCCCAACTCCCAGTAACTCTGGAATAAGGGACCTATTTTGGTAGAATGATAACTGATATAAAATCTAGAAGGGGCTCGTAGGACAGTATGGAGACAATTCTCACCACGGCCAACACACACAGGCAGCCAGCACACACACACTCAACTAAATGTAGGTCTTTGTGATATGACCTATGCATTATAGTGGTCTTAAAGCATAAGAAGTATTTCCATATGTCAGATGATTTTTACAAAAATATCGCCCAAAGGTGTGAATGAAATGTGTATCACACTATTTTTAGATGAGATTGGAAAAGGAGACTGCTTCTGGTAACTCCTATCAGAATAGCATCCTAGAAGATGCTGCTTGACGCCTAGTCCTGTGTTACATATTTAGTGAATTCATGAATAATACCAGTTAAGTAAATCCACATGGATTTTTGGCTTTTTTTTAAATAAAGAGTCACTTTGTTAAGTAGTATTTGCACATATATTCATAATCATTAGGACCGTAAGTCTATGGTTTCAGTAGCATAGATGAATAAATAAACAAGCAAAAACAAATGGTCCCAGTTTGGACCTGTGTTCCAATAGGAATATACGCACCTGTTAACTGAGAAAGGCATTGTAGCAATGATGTGGTCAGGCATCTAAATTTTATGATCATTTGGGTTTTTTGGTGTAAGAGAAAAAAATACTCAATGTTAATCTGTTTTAATGATAAAACACAAAGAAAGAAGACCGGACTAAAACCATTGGGTTAATAGAGGATATGAGTGTGTAGAATTTTTTTTTCTAGTGTCTTAACTTAGTAAGTTAGGGATCCTCTAGAATTTTAAGCTGTATCTTAAAATACATATTCATTTCCGTAGTTAAGGCAAGCTATGCTGGTATAATATCACATTATTGACTTTGGCAGTAAGAGTTTTCTAAAAAAATCTTTCCAATTCTCCTCCTTTATAAACTAACTCCCTCATATATGAAGATCCGTTTCCTCCCCACCCCTCCTACCCCACCTTCCATGGGAACATCGCAAAAGGAAATTTACTGCATCTAAGTAACCCAACTGCCCTTTATCTTTGGAGGCTGAATGCTACTTTTATCCCAAATCATCTAGCTGTGCCTTGATTCTTTTCCTATGAGATTTGGTGGTCTCCAAAACACTTTAGTAAAACTCAAAACTTCCAGTGCACAGTATTTAAACCAGTTAGTCAGCTGGCTGTAACTAAACAAGAAGCCCGATAGACTAAACTGAAATAAAGCCCGCTCTCCGAGATAAGCTGCATCTGTTGTATGATGATGGTCGAAATCCCTGGAGCCAGGAAAACATGAAAAGCTCTCAGAATGCATACTTTCCCACAATTATAGAAAGAGGAGCAAATGGTGTGAGAGGCAGGAGATGATCTGACTATCAGTTTGGCCCCCAGGTCTGACGTATACAGCAAGCATGTATTTCATCTAGAGGGATTTTTTTCCTTCATCAACCAGTAAGATTAGGGGAAGAGAGGGTGGTTTGTAGGTAATTTGGAAAGTTTCCTTGGTGCCTAAAATTTTATAAATGTTGCAGTTCTGTTAGTGTTTGCATATAACTAGTTCAGTGTGTTTGCGAGGTATGTTTTGTGATAGTCAAAATTATTTCCGTTGATCATCATTGAATACATACCGTTGAACCAGCCCCCCACTGTGAGTGGATGAGTCTGAGGAAGGTTGCTAGCAAGAATGTAGTACTATGGAGCCAGACTGCTTTCCTGTGAAAATATTTAAAAACTGGCAATCTAGAATCTAGAAGGTACAGCTGAAGCTTCCTGCCAGTGTAAAATTTAGATATATTTGAACAATGTTCTTATCCAAACAGGATACTGGTTATAGCGTGCTTGTTACAAAAGAGAAAATATACATATACATGTATACACACACATATATATGTGTATACATGGCTTGGTGGAATGTGGGGCATGAAGGTAAAGAACTTAGGTTATTTCATTCTTAAGAAACTTAAAATCCGGGGGGCGCCTGGGTGGCTCAGTCGGTTGGGCATCTGCCTTCGGCTCTGGTCATGGTCCTGGGGTGCTTGGATCGGGCCCCATGTCGGGCTCCCTGCTCAGCGGGGAGCCTGCTTCTCCCTCTCCTCCCCACTCGTGCTCTCTCTCTCTCAAATAAATAAAGAAATCTTAAAAAAAAGAACACCTTAAAATCCTGATGCATTTGCACGGGGAGTTACCTATATTTCCTCTCCTTTGGGGAAAGAAGGCCCACAGTTCTAGCTATATCCCAGAAGCTGCCTACGGATGACGACTTTTTTTTTTTCCCCTCTCTTTGTAAATCTTACTTGACAGGAGCCTGTGGCCACCCAACTATCTCTCTGGGAAGTGGTAAAGGAACTACTTACAGAGCCTTTGAAGTCCTTATTCAAATAGAGCAGTCATAATCCTATTAGCCGGAATTCTTATCTTATCACTTGAATAATTCTCTTCAGAGAAGTTGTGTTGGTAAGGACTTAGCCCCAGTTGCTTCACAAGTGAGTCAGTCGGTAGACATTGCAGCCTAAGAAGTTTTGTCTGGCCCCTCTGCCGGTTTTCTTTCCTGCTGACACTGGCTCTAATCAAGGAAACTGAAGTTAGATACTGCCTCTTCAGTCCAGAGATGTACAGCCACCCACTTGGCAGGAGTCAGCGGGCTCTCTTTATCATACTTTCTTTGTCATCGTGACCAAATTTATTAATAATATAACTTCAGGGACATTGCACTGATATTGGCTTAGGTCTTCTTACTAACACTCAGATCCATGAGGCTAAATTGAATGACGTCGGTGAGATTACTAAGCCCCTGCCTTGTTTCTTCCAGACACAGAGACGTGTGACTACGGTTGGCACAAATTCCAAGGGCAGTGCTACAAATACTTTGCCCATCGGCGCACATGGGACGCAGCTGAACGGGAATGCCGTCTGCAGGGCGCGCATCTCACGAGCATCCTGTCTCATGAAGAACAGATGTTTGTGAATCGTATGTACCAAATATACGCAGGTTTCCTGAAGCTTCGCTCAGTATCCCCATCTTCTTAGTTTTCTCTGTATCTAACTGAACAGATGTAGCTTTCTCTGTTGCAGTTCAACTTATTAAATCCCTCGTCTGAACTACTTAAAGTCATCTCTTCTACCTGAGTCCCCTACTTTGAGAAGCACTCAGCTCTAACAGAGGAAGGCATTTCCTAGTCTACCAGCAGTAATAGGTGAAATGGCATGCTATAGCTTGGGTCCTGTGACATTGCTACTTGATTATTTTCTGATGAAAATGGCCAATCATTCTTCTCATGGCTGCCTTTGTAGTTCCATTTTGAAGATGGGCATATGTTGTCTCGAGTTAAAGAGAAAATTGCTTTTAGCTATTTTTAGCCCACTAATTAAAATTGAATTGTCAATTATACCTTAATCCTACCCTCTGCACAAAATTGGTTCTCATCCAAGCTGCTAATGGTTTTAGGCCATAGAAAGTGGGTTTCATATTAAGAACGTGAACAAACAGAGACTGTAAAGCTAATGAAACTTACTACCAGGGCTGTTGAATAACTCCTTAAACTATAGCAAAGAGGAGGGCAGCTAGCTTTTATGTAGTGAATATGTAGAAGTTTTTTGATATGAAGCATTGTTTGATGCTCTATTAAATATGTTCTCATAATGCCTGCTATCTTTTAGAAGTTTGATTGTTAGTTTACAATCTGTATGGAGGTTCAGTTAACTTTTTTGCATGGTATTCTTGCCAGTGACTCATCTCATGATGAAAGTAATTATTTTTGAAGATCTACAATTTTGTAGAACTGTCTGGTCTAGGTAGTCACTGTTTAAAATGCTTTAAGAAGAAACACGTGGCTTCCAAAGTGAGGCTAGCATGGGAATGATCTGTCACATTTTATTGGGTCACTGAATTTTTGCCAATGGCATAGCTTAATAAAAAAAATGGAAAGTTTTTATCATGAGTAAGGATGGAAAAATATTTAATTATAGTAAACTGCTAGGGAAATTATTTTCTTATGTCTGATATTTTAATGTTTCTCAATGTTTGTGAATTAGCTTTTTAGTTTAGAGCACATCGGGTAGAAGAACAAAAGATAGTTAGACTATGAGAGATTTTTATGAGCAACTAAACAAAAATCTAGCCGGGAAAGAGGATGTATGATTCACTCTGAAAATAATTTTCTTTGATACATTTCATCCATATATGGGAAAGGTAGTAAAAATATCTGCGTTGTTTCCCTTTTTCTTAGGTGTGGGCCATGATTATCAGTGGATAGGACTCAATGACAAAATGTTTGAACATGACTTCCGTTGGACCGATGGCAGCACACTGGTAAGTTGCTCATGAAAAATGATACCAATTCTGGGAACTTGGTAGCGTGTGCTGATTGCATGTTACAGAGGGCATATTTGATCAGAGACCAGTTAAGTGACTTGCTCAGGGTCACTCAGTAAGATAAATGAGTATTAGAATAGAGTCCATGCTGACTGTTTCCAGTCACTGTGGCTCTCTTTGAAAGAAGAGTGTATCAGAATCCATTGAACTGGAAAACCACACCTCAGGTTTGTCTTTCAGACGGTTATCTTTGCTTTTTATGGCTTCAAAAAAAGGGAAAGAATAAATGTAAGAGAAAAGGCCTTAAAACAAACAAACAAACAAACAAAAAACCTACCTTTCCCTCTTATATAATTGCACTGGAAATCTCTGTGGCATGGCTCGTTTTTATCCAAACCAAGGTGCTCATTTTTTTCATCTTAAAAAAGATTGCTGAATTATGATCTTGTGGATTTTCTTCCATTCACACTCTGCTGGCTAATTATATAGTTTTTAGCTTTTTATGCTTTTTAAAGGAAGGAGTGAAATGGTAATACTGGCCCCAAACTTGAGTTGGCTGAAATAAGATCCTTAGGACAGCTGAACCTGTTTTGAGTCACTACTCTGAATACACATGAGTCTAATTTTTTAGAAATAGTTCAAGCGTGGTTAGCTATATACTAGTGGCTCTAGGCACTGGCTGTTCATTAGAATCACCTGGGGAACGTAATTTAACAACTGGTGCCTAGGCATCAACTCAGATTCATTAAAGCAAAACCCCTGGCGGCTGGCTCTATTTTCCACGTGTTCTCCAGGTGATTCCAAAATTCAGACAAGTTGGGCTCCACGGGGCTGGACAATAAGTGTAAATTCAATTCTAAATTAGATAAATAACAGGAAAAATTGAAAGTAATGTTTAGCTCTTTTTGTGAATTTATTTAGGTGCCTAAATTTCATTCACTACTTGCCACTCCTCTGGATTTAATGAGTTTGGCAAAATGTAAAGTTCATCCTTAGAATGGATGCCAAAGGAACCTCCACTTTTCGAAGTTCTACTCCGTGTGCTCAAGAAAGCTTTTCTGTGTTCTTATGGACGTACCGCTCAGTTCATCTTTGTGTCAGTTGCTATACTCGGCACCTTGCATTTGTTTATTCCCCACAATAACCTTTAAGAGAGGTATGAGGTATTTTATAGGTAAAGAAAGGGAAGGTCGGTTAGGTTGAGATTTTTGCCCAGAGCCCCAAGTGCCAGTGCCGTTAAGTGGTGAAGCCAGTCTCCAAAGCCGTGCTTGATTCTGGCCGGCACCTCCTAGACTTGAAAAGATATCCCTTATTACATATTTTGCCTTGAGCAACCCTAAAATAAAGTCTGGCCTGCCCTCTCTCTGTCATCACTCCTTATGTTTAATCAGCACTCTTTGTCATTCAGGTCCGTAAGTAGGTCCTTTGGCAAGATGCAGAGAAGATAAGGAAGTTAGATTGTCCATAAAATACATTCCCAGTAAGATATATGGACCACACCCTCTGGATCAATACTCATTGTTTTCTTTCTTTCTTTTTTTTTTTTTAAAGATTTTATTTATTTATTTGACAGATTCGTGGCGAGAGAGGGAACACAAGCAGGGGGAGTGGGAGAGGGAGAAGCAGGCTTCCCGCTGAGCAGGGAGCCCGATGTGGGGCTCGATCCCAGGACCCT